TTTTTTTTTTTTTTTTTTTTTTTTTTTTTGATGTGTCCCAATGGACCACGGATCAGATATTAAACAGATCAGAACAGATACAGTGCACTTGATCTATTTTTAGCCAAAAGGCCGAGAAAGGCATGTTTCCTTTTTTTTTGGTTTTGTAGACATCATTACGTCCTGAAACCAAGGTACTCTGACAGCTGCGGTTGGCTCTCTGGCATGAAGCTGGTTTCCTTCTTTGGGCAATTAATGCATTTGGCCATCCACGTTGTCCCTGTTCATTTTACAAATGGTGACCTCCTGTCCCCTCACCACGGGGAGTATCCCTTTTTCACGGAGACATTCACTCCGACTGTTCCAGACATGTTTCATTTCTCCCAGTTAAGTTATCAAAAATAAGGAGAAAACCTGTTCCTAGCGGGTTTTTTTTTTCTTCAGTTTTTTAATTTTATTGTTTCGAAGTTATTAATGTCGAAATGGCGTCACACTGTCGAGTTTTTTTAGTTTTCTAAACTCAAAAACGGTAGGTGGGACCAGACCCGTGGAAAGATCACGACCAAATCTACCTGTTTACAAATTTTCAGATTTTCTGACCATTATTTTGAGCATGAAAAAATCGATGAAAAATGAAGTACATTTCCGTTGGCTTTTTTTGGGCGGGGGGCGTGGTGGTTTAAGTCTGTCTCCTGGGCCGAGGTCCCGCTAGCAAAAAGGATAGGATGGAGCTCCTGAATCTGGATGTGTTTTAAGCAGAAATGCAGAAATGCAGAAAAGCTTTTTTGGAAAGTGAGGATTTCGTAAAGGGACGCTGGAACCGGGGCGAGGTTCCACTAGCTAAGAGGATTGGATTGAGCGTCCGAATCTGGACTGGTTTGTGGAAAAGTGCAGAAAATCGAGATCCAACTGCTTTTCTGCATCTCTGGCTAAGACACGTCCAGATTCAGGATATTTATCCCATACTCTTTGCTGGTGGGACCTCGCCCCCGGTTTCCAGCAGCAGTATCGTCAATTTAGTTACAATGGGTTGTTTTTCAGCGAGCTCTGCTCATAAGAGAAACTGGCTGATGCTGCCAGGATAACTCCGGGTTGAATTGTGAGGTGAGGTCCCCGGCCTCCACACTACGGTTTTCTTGGTAATAAAAGGACAAGCTTCCCAAAAAAAAAAAAAAAAAAAAAAAAAAAAAAAAAAAAAAAAAAAAGCAGTTCAATCTTGATTGCCTGCACATCTCCATAAACTCGTCGAGATTTAGGCATTCGATCCGATCCTCTTTGCTAGTGGGACCACGCTCCTATTCGCTAACTGCTTTTTGTGGTGTGCTGAGTTTATGTGCCCCGCTCACAGGGGTAGGTTAGCATATAGGCATAGGCTCAGGGACAGAACTGAAATTTGGCTACGGGAAGACTTGCCACGAATTTTATTTTAGGAGGGCCAGGGATAGGAGGGTAGATGTGTATAAGAGACAGGGTAGGGGGTGTGTGCGTGGCTGGGTGGGTCTG